CGGTTCAGTGCAGAAGTTATTCTAGGGTTTGTGGTCACGTGAACCGTGGCTAGGGTGGTGGGAGATAAAAACTGAGTCTGGAAGAGATATGGGCAAACGGGTAAAACTGGGCAAGCGTCTGTTCACCATAGTGTACTTATTTTCAGCGTCTGGGAGGAAACCCAGTGGTCTTGAATGTACCCCTTTCCTGATGTTGCTAAACATTTGTAAAAGCCCTCTGGCCAGGTATACCATCCCCTGTGGATGCTTAGTCCAGTCCATTGTTACCAAGAGACTGAACGTGGTGATAGAATTACCATTTTTATAATTTCTTCTGACATGCTTGCACTGCATTTGTCATTAGGAGGCCAAAAGAAGATTGCTTGGGCAGCCTTTACCTTAGACTTTTCTAACTTTTGAGTCTGGCTGTGCTCTGGTACATTCCTGTAATGTTATCTTTTGCTTGGAATTTATTGTAAAGAAACTGCAGAGCTGATAGCTTGAAGGAAGTCTGTTGGAAGACTAGTAAACTTTTTCACAATCTCTCTAGGTTTACAGTCCCATAGTCAAAGATGGTTAAAATTGACTTCCTCACATACCAGTCACAGTGTAATCTTTAAAATCTATGATTGGCTTATAGAAGTTGTGAGTTTCTGCTTTACAAAATTTACTAAAAACCTTGAAGTTGGAAGGTGAGCTGAGTAAGTACAAAAGTTTTTCATTTGCCTTGAACAGTCATAATATTTTCAGTGGTTTGTCAGCCCCAACAGTACTTTTTGTTGCCTCCTTTGAGAGTCAGGATCCCTGGCAATAAAACAGATATTTGCAATCTGTTGAGCACAGCTGCAGAAAGAAGAGAGAAGTATTGCCTCTATTAATATAAAATATTGGTATAAGTAATCACTGAGTAAATCAGGTGTTTTCAGTTTCCCTGTTAGACCAGTAAGTGGCAGTAAGTTAATGTGTTGCTTTTCTCAGGGTTAGTTTCAACCAGTGTTAATATATATAGCTGAATTAAAGCATTTTCTTCTTATGTTTTATGTTTCTATATGCCTTATCTGTAAAACCAAATGCCTTTTTCAGAATGCTAAACTTATAAGGTTTGATTTTGTTTTGTTTTGTTTTTTTTTTTTTAATTTTAGATTCCCCTAAGTCTAAATCAAAGAAAAAGAAAAAAGAAAAACACAACAAAAAGGTAAACATTGACAAAGAGAAATAAGTAGTTAACAAACAGAAAATAGTTCTTCATATTTCAGTAACCTTAAATGTCATGTAAGATGTAATGCTTTTGTCTGTGGCTATGTAAATCTGAGTCATGCTTTTAGGGTTACAGTAGGTGAACTGATAGGTTGGCATATACTTGACTGTATACTAAAGGAGAAATAATTTAAAGGCTCCTCCTGCTAATCGTTGCTGGTCCAGCTAGAGTTTAGAGTAGTCTCTGAAGAAAAGAGAAGTGGGGAATCTTGATAACTTTATAGATTTGTCAGAAGAAACAATTTATAGTCAATGAGAGAGCAGTAGATTCTGTTGTTGTAATTTTTCATTTTATTAGGACCTTCTGTTCAGTGATTTTTATATATTTGGATTACATTAAAATAGAGAGAATGGAGGAGCAGACCACTTCTGCTTCTCAAGATCTCAAGGGTTGCTAACCCTGCTACATTACTTTCTGTGTACTTCAGACGGTACCTATTCAGCAGTGGTAAAGGCAGGCAGTAGTGGCTGTCTTGACTAGCCAGGGCATTGTGAGCTACTTGTGGATTTCCGGTTTTTGCCCTTGCAAGTCTGTAAGCATACGAGTATATGTCTTATACTTGTAGAAAAGGAAAAAAGAGAACAAAATGAAGAAAAAGAAAGAAAAGAAGAAGAAGAGAGAGAAAACAGGACCTGTCCAGCTTTCCAAGGTATGTGTCGTGGTTTAGACCCAGCCAGCAACTAAGCACCACGTAGCCGCTTGCTCACTCCCCCTACCCCGATGGGATGGGGGAGAGAATCGGAGGACTAAGAGTGAGAAACACTCCTGGGTTGAGATAAGAACAGTTTAATAATTGAAATAAGGTAAAATAGTAATGATACTAATAACAATATGATAATGATAATAACAATAATAATATACAAAGCAAGTGACGCACAATGCAATTGCTCACCACCCGCCGACCGATACCCAGACAGTTCCCGAGCAGCGATCGCTGCTCCCCAGCCAACCCCCCCCAGTTTCTATACTGAGCATGACGTCATATGGTATGGAATAGCCCTTTGGTCAGTTTGGATCAACTATTCTGGCTGTGCCCCCTCCCAGTTTCTTGTGCACCTGGCAGAGCATGGGAAGCTGAAAAGTCCTTGACTAGCATAAGCAGGACTTAGCAACAACTAAAAACATCAGTGTGTTATCAGCATTCTTCTCCTACTAAATCCAAAACACAGCACTATGCCTGCTGCTAGGAAGAAAATTAACTCTATCCCAGCCGAAACCAGGACAGTATGCTTGTGTGAGTCTGAAGTCCCATTACATTTCTCATCTAAACACTTAATCTGTCCTGTCATAAAAATGTTTGTAACACCACCAGTTTTGTCATCAGCAAATAGAAACCTATCTCTATTGTTTTGGACAGTTAGAAGTATAAAAGATTATTGTCTGTAATTTTATTTAAGATTTGTAACATTACAAAGTAAAGCAAAGCTTATGTCTTTCTAATGGGTGATCTCATTTTAGTTCTTTAAAAACAAAAAGAAGAATGAAAACTACAGCATGATAACCGGAAAGAAAATTAAGATGAGAATAAAGAAGACTAAGAAGGATAAAGAGGTAAGAGTTAAAATAGTCTATATTTTCCAAAGGGAAGATACTGTATCTTTTATTATTTTTCTAATAGTAGTCTTTTGTAGAAGAGTAGATCTTACAGTTAGGAGTTGTAAATTGAGTGTAGCTTTTAATGTGGCTATGATGCCATCGGAGAAATTTTAATTCATTCTTTTGGCAGGTTTTATGTTATGAGTGGGCTTGGAATACTCAGGCATGAGTAGATAAACCAAAGGATGCTTGTGCAGGTTCTTAGAATTTCAGTCTGTAATGTTTAGCTGATTTGTGGCTTTCTCTGTTGATTTAATTTGCACTGTTTTTAATTGTGCTCAGCTTCTTCCAGTCCCTTGAGATCAGTTGCGGTAATTGCTGCTTTACTGTGTTTTTCTAAAGCATGCGAGGCTAGCCGTTATTTAGAGAGGAATTAAAAAAAGACGATAGTAGTATTAGGACTATGTGCTTATGCATTCTCTCAAAGCAGTCAAATGTTTTTGCTGAGATACCCAGGGAAATAGGTACCATGAATAGCATTTTGTGCTATTGCTATGGTTGTTTGGTCTCAGCACTTTAATATGTACACTCTTTTCCGCAGTTTCCAAACCTTAGAGTGATCTGCAGAGGGTTTCTGGTACTAGTCCTTATGTGTTAAAAGTGTTACTTTGCTGAGGTATCCAGTTTGGTGGATTCAGCCGTAACGGCTCATTCTATAGCTACCAAAGCAGACCTGAGCATTCCAAGTGAAATTTGATGAAAAATACATTATCTTCTTTCTGTGGCACTGAAGTTTGTGTTAAATTATGCTGAATGCTTGCTAGCCTTATCCCAGTAACCTGCTTGTTACAATATTCGATGTCAAATATTTTATGTTGGTCCTTTTTTGATTGGTGTCCATGGTCATGAACATGCTGAACTGAACAACATCCATTGTTCACAATATTTTAAGATTCAGTAATTGTTTTATAAACTGATTTTAAAAACACTGGAAACAAGTTTTTTGACTGTTTGGGCCATCTCTTATGTGAAGAAAGAACCTAAATTCATGGTTCCCTTTCTGTTATGCTGGAAGCTCCTGCTTATGCATAGAAAAAATGATACTTCCCAAAGCACAAGACTTGCTGTGTGTACAGTGAAAGTTGCCTCAGACACCAGAGAATTGCATCTGTTCTGCTTGTGAGTTCCCTCCTGAGCAGGCTATGAGCTACATGATGACAACCCAGTGAGGCCTCCACGGGGAGACACCTAGAAAATGTATCATGAAATAGTGACAGTGACAGCTTGTCTCCTACAGCATCTCTCCTGAGTACCCATTGCCTTGCACTTCCTGCAGGCTCTCACACCTAACTGGTAGCTAGTCATATCCAGCTGTTTGAAGGTGGTAGCGTTTCTGTGCAGTGTGCCGAGATAGGAAAGCCCCACAGAAAGCAGGGTTATGCAGCCTGAGATGTGAAAGCCTCACAGAAAGCAGGGTTATGCAGCCTTGGTCCACTGAGTACAGGTCTGTTAAACCGATGCCTCTGCTTTTCTGCTCTACAGAGAGACCGGAACCGTGCAGAACTCCTTGAATTTCTGAACTCTGCCTTATAATGGGAAGAGTGATGACCAAGGACTTGTAAATATACCAAGCCAACGATCATCATGCCTAGCAAAACACTAAAGGGAAACTCAGGGAAAAGGACGCCACGTTTGACAAGACCAGACTCTCCTGCTGAGAAGACAATTGGGATGTCCTTTTTTAATGGCAAAATGAAGAGTAACTGTTAACTTGTTAATGAAGATCCATGCCCTCCTTTTGAGATCCTAAGGTAATAGCCAGGCTGTGGTGTTTTAGAAGAGCCTAAGAGTATGTTGTTGACAATGATAAGAAATGACACGCTGAAGTCCAGTAATGTAATTTCTATCCTGACTGCATGCAGAATGCACTCTTATTTTCAAGTGTCTTAATGTTTTTAGTAGTTAAGCGAAGCAGAGTATTTGTAAATGTCTATTTGAAAGATGAGGCGTTTCTATGTGTTTATTTTTCCTAGTAGCGGTTTTACTTGTCCTAAAGAGCAAGTTGATCTTTGTAAATAGAACATGCTTTTACATAAATGATTTTTTGACAGTTCATTCACTAATATTTTCTTTCAGAGTTTGAGATAGGATCTTTCTTTGGACAGTTTATTGCCCTCTTTCACTAGAAAGCGTAACAGTAACATACTCTAGAGCAATAATGGTAGCTGAATGATTTTTATCCTACAATAGAAGCAGGAAAGAACTTTGGTTTTGTTTATCTGGATCAGCTGTTCAAAGACAGCTCACAATAGATAGTTTACCCCCCACATCTGGAGTTGCAGTTCCTAGACCTAAAAACTCTGGAGTTCTGGCCTGCCTTCCTGATCCCGTGAGCCGTGTATCAAATCTTCCTCCACCTGATGTGTGGCAAGACACATTTTGCCTATCTTAGTGTAATGGAAAGAGAAAGAGCCATAGGAATGATGCCAAGGCAGGCAGTGACAGTGACCCTCCAGGTGTGTTGACAGACAAGACAGGTCTGGATATGCAGCTGGACCGCAGCATAACTTGTGTGTGTGTGTTAGCCATGGTAGTTTGCTCAGTGCTTGCTCACTTCCTTCCAGAGCCTTAACTGTGATTACCCAGCAGGCCCCTGTGTACATAACCCTGATGTGGGAATTCCACTTGAATCCCTTGTGTAGCAAGTGCTCCTTGGGAACCACAATTTAGGAACACCTGGATAAAGGAGTCAAGGGTAGTTAGTTGACTTTGACAAGAATATCAGGTGTACAGTGGTCAGAGTGTGGGGAGTTCATTAAAGAGCAAACAAACAGAAAACTCTTTGCGTCTGTGTCTGCCATGGTGTTTTAAGTAAATCTGAAGATTGCTGAAGGGATAATTTTAAAACTGTTTTCATGTGTGAAACCTCCTGAAGATGCTAGAATCCTGTCTTTTCCCTAGGTTTTCTTTGTTGTGAAACATTTTGCAATTGTTGCAGAGATGTAACTCTTTAGTGACTAAAGTCCTGATCCAGAAGAGCAAGTCCTTACATCCTTGTGAACATAAAACATGAAAACACATAGGTAAGAACTGGAGTTTCCTGACTTTTAACCTGGTGATGGCAGCTTTTTTTGGAAGCAGTGTTCTGAAACATCAGTAGGGGAAAAAACGAACAAAGAAAAAAAACCCTTCTCCTTTCTTTTTCATGGGGATCATGCCTTGATTTATGCTACTTTGCTATCTTGTAGCTAGCGATGGCAAAGCATCTTGCCCAGATAAGCAGCTTTTATCTCTGGACTTCTCTTAACAAGGTTAATCCCAAACACACTCTTACAAGACACTAACATCCTTGCCATTCCCTAGGTTATATTTTATGTAAAGATAGTATGATCTCCTGAAAGCAAATAGGAATGGGAAACCCAGAGATCACACTTGTAAAGAACTGCATTGGTTGGAAAGTTCAGACTTAGCAGAAAGCAGATGATTTCAATGGCCTTATGCAAGATTGGTCAAGATCGTAAAAACTCCGCTGTTCCATGCTAGTATGGAAAAGGCAAAGGACCTTTAGTAATATGATGTGGTCTGTTCCTCTTTTAGGGTTTTAGTAGTTGCCAACCCTGACTGTATAAAAATGAGTCAGACCACTCTTTTTTCTAAAAAAAAACTCCAGTTTTTTTTTTTTTTTCTGTTTCAGGACAAAGGAGTTTTTCCTGTTCAGTTTTGACATGCTGGATATGCTTTGGTGATGCTTTAAAGTGTTTCTGTGCCAGCATTTACTTCTAAGCTATCATTTCTATTAGAAAGCTGAGCTGCTGAAGTCCTGTGGCAGTGATTCAGTTTTATTCTCTCCTGCCCAGTCAGTTGTAAGTGCTGTCTGAAACTTCCCAGCAGTTGCTGCTTTTATAGGTGTTCTTTTCTTTCTTACCCACCTCCATGCAGATTCTCAGGTTTCTAAAGAGGTTTCAGTTCATGTTGCATCCTTCCCTCCCGCATCTTTCCCCACAAGCACTGAGATCATGGGCATCTTCTTGGGACTGAGTATCCTTGAGGCTGCTGTTTGGAGCTGGCCAACAGATTCCAGTCTCCCTAGTGAGCACATGCCCATACAGCCAAAATAATTGTCCGTGCCTTGCCGCCTCAGGAAATAAGTTAATTTTGTTGCCCTTTTCACTAAAGCATAGCTTCTTAATACTGCTTTGCATTACTTTGTGGCAGTTGAACCAAAGACTGAACCAGATGTGAAGGTTATGACAGTAAGGTAAGAGACATAGAGGAATGTAATGAAATACAGATTGAGAAATTTGCATGAGGGAACTGTGAAGCGGCGTGGGATGTCGACCTGATATGCAAATGGCTGATAGACAGCCTTGCTACCAGGTCTCAGAAAAGTGCATATCGTGGGGGAAGATGAAGGCTGGAACAATCGAACAATAGAAAAGGTATGAGGCAGGGATGGAGGGAGACTGCTGCTGTCAGATGTCATGGAGTGGGGCGGAGATCAGGTGATAAGGAAGGGGCTGCAGAAGCTTACCATCTCTAAGATGCTGAATAATAGAAGTCCTTCAGATGTGAAACCTACTTTTCTTTGTGTATATGACAGTCCTCCCTATCACACCCACTTTCTGTATCCCTGCACTCTTTTCCATTCTGGGAATCATGCAGAACTTAACTGAATTTTTTTAACAACAGAAATTCCAGAAACAGAAGTCACTGGGGTGGGAAGGGGGGGAAGGATATATTCTCTGAGCTGCTGCCACCATGCCCATCCTTCTTGGCACCATTCTTTCCAAGTATTCTATCCCATTTACAAAAAATTGTGCCACAAGCAGCAGAATTGGTAAGACTTGGTTCCTTAGGATTCATGCCTGTTGCTCTTTAAGCCCTTGCTACCTTGCCGCTAGTCCTCCGTCCCACTTGTGTGCTGTAGTTAGGCAGGCATAAATGTAAAATGGCTGTGTGGCTTTCATTAGTCCCATGGTGGAGGGTGCTCATTTGGACCTCCTGGATCTAGTGAGTGATTGTCATGAAGCAGGAAAGGAATTGGGTATTTCTAAAGATCTCTCCAGAGTTAATACAACTGGTAGTAGTCCCGAGAGTTATCGGAAGAAGATAGAGCACAGTTACATAAGTTTTGTTTCTTATGCAAGGGAAAACAGGTAAAAATCCAAACATGAAAGAATGGTTGATACAAGTAATGAAGTGATTCGGCCAGTTCTCATGGGCAATGCAATTCTTTGCTACTTGTTTCTTTTGTGATTCGCCTGAACTTGACTTCTTTGCCCATGCAAAACTGTACAAAATATCAAGATGAGAAAATACTTATAAATACCACTTTGTCTTGGAAGTACTTGCCTCCATTGAACTAAGATGCATCATCCTGCAGTGCTGAGCAGGGCCTGCAATTTTGATAGCTTTCAATATTTAGTATGGTTAAAGTTAGTTGTGCTGTTTTGATGTACTTGGATGTTTCATGCTGCAGGAATACAGGAGCTTCCCAGTCATCCTCTGCAGCGGGAAAACTGAGTGAGTGCTATATGCAGGGGAAAAGCAGAGGTCAGAGAGGCTGAAGTAACTTGTCTAACCTGCCCTGGTGAGGTGTGGGTGGGGGCCTTGACCACTGGATGGAGCTCTGATACGCTTTGTTGTACGTGTTTAAACATAGTCCTCCTTTGGTCTTTGCTGGGCATATTTAGAAACAAGTTTCTAAAGTTCTTGCTCAACTCTCAAGGTTGGGAGCTCCACTCTCATTTGGGCACTCCATGAAATGGCTGGATTTTAAGTGGTAGTGGGTCCTCCTGGAGCTGGGCTCACCTGAAAATCCTCCAGTCTGCTACTTGGTTATATTTGAAGCTGTAGGGTGATAAGCTTTTGAGGAGCTGCTTCTTAAAATTATTGGCAAACACCCAGCCTTCTCGTTCCATCTCTGGACAAAATGAATCATCAAAATTACTGTCCAGTGTAGAGGTCATGATTTATTTGGTTATTGACAACAGGTATTTTTTTCCTGCCTGTTCAACTTCGATCTTAAATTGTGATTCACCAGGAGTATGAAACATCTAGTGTTTTCTGAGGGAATAGCAGGACATGGTGCTGAGGGCTCTAAGGAAGCATGCTTTGAGCCTTTTCAAGCAGTGTGAAGAACATCATTAATATCCAGTCTGGTAAGTGTACATTGATCACAGAGGCACAATGTTAAGATGACAACTGTTCCAGTACCAGCATGCTGGCCACTGGTGCTGTCTTCCAATAAGGTGCTAAACACTACAGGTAACATCAGTTGTGTTCGTTTTGCTCTCCATTCATGAGCTGTTCTCTGGGTGACAGTGGTGTGAGGGAAAGGTAGCGTGAGCGTGAGGAATCTATGTGTCAGGAGAGCCCTGGTTAGAAAGCTGCTGTTTCCTGGTTAATCAGTGCTGGGAAACCTGCCAGCAGGTGGCATTGCTGTCCCACTGGACTGTCACAGCATTTTTTTTTTTTTTTTAGTCTTTGGACATTGGCTTTGCGCTTTCTTATTCTGAAACCCTGTAATTAGCCTGCAAAGACCTAATTATGTGTTGTTTATGGGGAACATTTGTTACTGCTGTCCTATGAATTTCATCCAGTCTTTGTTCATTTCTTGCTCTTGGCTATGCTGTGGACAGACAATAGTCTCTCCTGCTGGTGCTTGCATGCCAAAGGCAGAAGGAAGCCTTTAACTTTGAAGCAGTTGAATGCAACAGGACCAAGTTGCTGAGAGCCAGTAGGGACCTGGAAGGACCAGGTGTTCTTGCACCGTCCCCACCTGGGGCTGCTGAGTTCTTCAGAAACTGCGCCCTGCTCTTCTCCATCTCTTAAATTTCAGACCTCCAGTGCCAGAAACCTGAGGAGTATTTCACTGTCACTGCTTCATACCACATCTGGTTATTTAAATAGTCCAGACTAAATTAGGTGCAATCTATTGCTTTAGGCAACCTGACACTGCAGAGAGTAAGGCTGGAAAAGGTACTGTACATGGACTATGACCTGATAGAGGCCTCTCAGAGTACTGCATTGTGATCACTAAACAGATATAACAATTACATTCTGAGAGCAGATACTCTGATGTAGAAAACATACAT